GATTTTGTCTGCAATAATGCCATTAATGCCTTACAATTTATGGTAAGTTAGTCATAAAATTGATCACAAGTTATATTTTGAGGTATTGTTTTTGGGAAATAGATTTTGTCCGTCTCTTCAGTTATACACTTTTACTAAACAAATAAACACTTATGTCTTGAAAGCTAACCACGAGTTTAATGGTAAGAACTGTTTCCATAGAAAACAGACATTTCTTATGAATTATTATCGAAATATGTTTGCCTTCTATTTGTATCATTCATTTAGGAACACATATAAGAAATATCTGTTTGTTTTGTTTTCTATTAATACTGTTTAACATATTATTTATAAATGTTTAAGTGATTTGTTTAAAATTCATTTTGGATACAATAAAGTCACGCATAAATATATTATGCAAATTCTGCACAAACCCTGCAATAAATATAATAAAATTCTGTTTCTATTTTTGTTAGGCGTTAATCGATATATTGTTATAAAATAAGAAATATTGTAATAGGAAATTGTTTGAATAATTTAACACTTGTTATAATTGTAGTTATTAATTGATTTATAAATTTATTAAATTCTCAAATTCTTAAAATTATATGATTTTCTTATATTGTTTGAGTGCATATATGTTTTGCATAGACTTCAATAATTACACGTATATTTGTATGTATTCAATATTTGTAATCATTTAATTATTATCCCAAATAATAATTATTGTTGATTCAATCTCAAGTACTTCCGATAAAACTATTTTTAGCAATTGTTGCCAAATTCACTTTGGATCAGTTTATATTAAAAACAATTGTGATAGTTTAAACAATTACCATAATCAAAGTAAATATTACATAAATTGAACATATCCTGCGATATATCTACATAGAATATAGGATCACAATAAAACAATTCTTGTTCAGGGAGTTTCTATAAGTTAAAATCATCATATTAAATTAATAAAATGTTATATTCCATTTTTAATTAATAACACATGTTAATAACAATCATGATTAATTATGAACATGATTATAAAACAAATTAACATACTAGTATGTATATTGGTCAACCGTTGAGCCTTAATAATACTGTATATACTTTACTTTAACTAATATTAGTGTCAAAGAATCAATGATAAAACAATTTTAAAATGTTTGATTAGTTAATAGTTTAATACATGTGATAATAACATGTTAGGTGCCCTTAATTTAATGGACATTTAATTGTTTATGATAATACAAAGCGACTATTTTTAATAATGCATGATAATCTATGCCATAAATAAATAATTAACGAATAGTGATAAATTTAATTGATATTCTATATAAATGAATAATGCTTATGTCCGGTGTTGTGTGGCTACAGGTGCCAAATTGTGAACAGCATAATAAAAAGTGAAATGTTATTTTTCCCATTAAAAAAAACTTTTGTATATTAAATTGAATGCATTTTTTTTGCTGTAAATAGTGGTATAAATAGTTTAATGAATCTCTCAGCAAAAATACCCTCTATATAACTATCGGATTTCTATGGATACGGATTTGCAACAATGAATTCCCAATCCATTATTACTATATTATAGTTATATTAATATTAATACACGATTCTATCGACAAATGAGCCTTACATTTATTTGGATAGTATTTTAATAATAGTTTTTAATTATATACACTATTTTGAAGTACAGTAACTCTCATCATATAATTGGATTTTTTTCTTAACATAGAACAAAGTTTACAAAAGTGTACACAAGTTTTAAATGTGTATTTTATACAAATGTCTTGTGTTTTTATCATAAAATAACGATTGTTTGTCATAAATCGATGATATACTAACGCCCATTGAAGTTACTCTTGGTATTATATTTGTAAAAATCTATATTAAATTAATATATCGTAATGAACGGAAAGCGCACAAAAATGTTACCTAAACTCCGGACGTTAAAAATCACTTTCCTATTGATTATGTCGTTATCACTACTCTGTATATACAACTGGACTTCAACCAAGATTGCGGTTAGAGATCTCATATACCTGACCAGGTATGAATGTTACCTAAACTCCGGACGTTAAAAATCACTTTCCTATTGATTATGTCGTTATCACTACTCTGTATATACAACTGGACTTCAACCAAGATTGCGGTTAGAGATCTCATATACCTGACCAGGTATGACATCGTTGTGTTTTGTTTTATTTCACGTCTCATTACATACTGTGTCTGATAACTAGTAATTTTTGTGAATGAATTGTACGGTTGAGTTGATTTGGTTTATGGATTTTATCGGTCTTTATTTTATTATACCATTTATTACATGATATGTTATAATTGTTTTATGTATGGCTGTAGACATTGAGCACACCTGGAGAGTTGGGGTGTGTGTGGAAAATTGTGATACTCTATTAATATCATGTTTATTGCATTTATTTCATTAATGTTACTTTAGTTTGATAATCATAAGTGTTGTTACCAATAATAGTATTAGTATTTTTTCAATACAATCAGACTTAAATATTCTTAACAATATTTAATTTTATTTTGCTTACTGTATGATCAAGGCCAATTTGGGATGGTAGCCAACAAGTATTTACAATAGTACCTCATTATTATACCGATGGTCTGAATGGCAGCCAATTGTGTCATTTCCACGGCTGGCAGAAGAGAACAAATACAGTGCAAGTGATCGACACAATCATATTCTCCATAGAACTAGACTTATTAGAGATCCGAATCAAAGAGTTGTGGCCTTTTGTCGACCATTTCATTGTCTTAGAGGCCGACAAAACATTTACCGGAAGACAGAAACGACTTTTACTAAATGAAAGTTTGCAAAACTTTTAGACTTATTAGAGATCCGAATCAAAGAGTTGTGGCCTTTTGTCGACCATTTCATTGTCTTAGAGGCCGACAAAACATTTACCGGAAGACAGAAACGACTTTTACTAAATGAAAGTTTGCGAAACTTTTTGTGGGCTAAAGAGAAACTACGATATCATTCATACACCGGTTTAGAGGCATTAAAACCGGGAGAAAACCCGTTCAAAAATGAAGGTCAAATGAGAGGTTATTTGGATCAAGTTGTGTCCAAATACGCTAAAACCGGTGATATAATCATCTGCTCGGATGTGGACGAGATTCCATCCGAAGAGACCGTACAGTTGTTGAGAGATTGTACGGGATTTTCAAATAACATGCATTTGCAGCTCAATATGTATTTGTATTCATTTGAATACTTCTACAGCACTGATGACAGCTGGAGGGCTCACATCTCCATCTATGACAACAACTTCCACTACAGACACGGAAGACTGTCCGACCACTTGTTGGCCGACGCGGGTAAATATGAATACTTTAACTATGGTAATAGTATGCATAACATTGTTGTTGATCCACATATAGGATGGCACTGTTCCTTCTGCTTCAGAAATATCTCGGACTTCATATTCAAAATGACTTCGTATTCACACAACGATAGAGTTATGGACGAGAAGTTGTTACTGAAGGAAGAGATCCAGAAGAAGATATGCAATGGAGAGGATGTGTACGACATGTATCCCGAAGTGTATAGTTTTCGGGAACTGGTGCTCAAGTTTGGTGCGATTCCTAAGTCTAAGACAATGACTAATTTGCCAAAACATTTGATGAGAAACCCGACAAAGTTTGCATTTTTATTGCCCAATGGATGCGTTCGCGAAGATTATAATCAAACCATTAGTTTAAAGAAAGTATAACTTATTGGAAGTAATAATAACCTAAAACTCATTTATTGTGATAAACATTGAATTCTTTTGGTAAATATTTTTCATAATTAATTGAAATAATGTTTTATATTTTAAATTAAACTTCAAGAAAGATGTTAACTAAAGATAGATTGTTTCGCTCAAAACACTGTATATACAAATTCATTACTATTTAATAAATCTTTGATAATATTATTACATTTGTTTTGAATATTGGTTGAATGAAATGTGTTTTGTAAATACAAAATATTTATAAAACAAATGATAGAAAATAAAGTAAATCTTATTGAAGAAGAAAAATATTTCGTTTTTAATTCGTATAATAAAATTGCTATAAATATGTTTATAAAATCAATCATTTACTTAAATTATACTAAAAACAAAATATTATGTTTATGCTTTTAAAATTATATTAAATATGAGACTAGATTATTTTAATCATGTTCTACCATATCATACTTTACTGAACTGTATATATTCTTTACTATAATTTATATTCACAACAGAATTGACCAAATTTACAAAACTAATTGCATTTATGTTAAAATATACATCCTTTCAATGTTTTTAGAAAAATTCAGTTAAAATACTATAATAATTTGTGCCATAATTTAGTGGTCTGTAATTTTTAAAAACTAAATGAGTTGACAACAAATTGTCAAAAAAAAAGACAAAAATCTTTAACAGAAATACAATTAAATATTTCAATATTAATACAATTTCCCAATATTTGACATATATTTTATTCATATTTTGTTTAACCCATTATTGATTTATTTATATTTTAATTTTAGAGAATTAATTAAGATAATGAATTTTTATATAGATTTAGTCAATTATATTGAGAGTGCAAAATATGTACAAAATAACATAAAGCTTATTCATAATTTATATGAAAAAACATTTAATGCATATCTGATGCACATTTATTTCAATTAAATACTATATTCTGGTCTAATGTGAATTTAGGCACAATCATTTTGTTCATTGTTTTATATTTACAACAAGTTTTATGATTTTAATCATTGTTTTAACAAATAATATCAGTAATATTCAGCACTAAAATTGGTTTATTAATGTCGATTTAATATTATTTTTGCAGGTACTGTATGATGTGTATGAAAGTATTAAATCTTGCACGAAATAATTTTACAAACATCGTGATTGCATGTCATTATAATCTTAAAATTTGTTAGACTTTTTGTATTCTATTTCTAATATAATAATTACTAAAAATAATTTATGTCATAATTGTATGCATTGAGACACTGTTTCGACAATTAAATTGCTTTATGATTACAATTTATTGCTGTATTACACAGTTTTGTCTCACAATCTATTTCATTATCTTATTTATTACTTCTCAAGAATAAGAAAGTTTATGTATTATTATTATTACACCAAAAATATCAGTCTTTATTGAATTCTCATTTTACTATTTTTTCTATTCAACAGAATTTTGTCTATTATTTAATGAATTAAACGTTTTGTAAACTCGATTTCAATGCAAGGGGTTTATCGATTTATTTCTTATGATTTTCTACATAATAACTAAACTAAAAAACTTAATCAATAATTGGTTTTGTCGTCATTTAATAAACATTTGCAAAATAGATTCATATATTGTTTGGCAGTGAATGTAGTGTTTCTGTGAAGTGTTGTTAGAAATCGAAAAAAGTCCACAAATGGTTAGTTTGAGAACTTTTAGGTTCGCGTTTCTATCGATTCTGGTTTTAACCATATTTTGTGTGTATAACTGGACTCCAACTAAAATCGCTGTCCGAGACTTGATTTATTTAACGAGGTATTCAATTGTATTACTCTCTATTTACTGTTCATTTTCCAGTAGTTCGTGTCAAAATCTTTTCCAATAATATTTCATTGATTTTTCTTTCGCAATGTATTTGTGAAAAAATTCTGTTTTAAGTTATAATCATTTAAAATCATTATATTATAAATTATAATGTAATGGTTTTAAAATTTTTTAAATAGTAGTTTTTAATTAATATAATCAATATATTCAACACATGCAGACCAGTTTGGGACAAGTATAAAGGAAAGCCATTCACAATATTACCACATTATTATTCTGAAGAACTTAATTCAAGTCAATTATGTCATCTGCACGGCTGGCAGAAGAGGACAAATACAGTGCAAGTGATCGACACAATCATATTCTCCGTAGAACTGGACTTATTGGAGATCAGAATCAAAGAGTTGTGGCCTTTTGTCGACCATTTCATTGTCTTAGAGGCCGACAAAACATTTACCGGAAAACAGAAAAAACTTTATCTAAACGAGAGATTAGAAGACTTTTCGTGGGCTAAAGAGAAACTGCGATATCATTCCTATAGTGGACTCAAAGTATTAAAACCGGGAGAAAATCCATTTAGAAATGAGGGCCTTATGAGAGCTTTCTTGAACCAAATTGTGTCCAAATACGCCAAAACCGGTGATATAATCATCTGCTCGGATGTGGACGAGATTCCGTCCGTACAGACCGTACAACTGGTCAAAGAATGCGATGGATATCCAGAAAATATGAATCTATTGCTCAAAATGTATTTATACTCATTTGAATGGTTTCTTGTGGACGAAGAAGAGAGCAGAAGCGCTCACATCTCACTCTATAGACAAAACCAGTTCCGATACACTCACGGAAGGACTTCCAACTATATATTGGCCGATGCGGGTAAACAATAACCATTACTGTTATGATCATT